AATATAAATATATATATATATATATAAATATAAATATAAATAAAAGAAGTTGGCAGTAGGCTAAAAAAGTAAGAACAAGACGGAAATACTTTTCATTTTAGAGAAAATTTTACAGAGATGTCCTACACAAGAATGTCCAGGAATAGTCAAAAAGAGAATTCATCAATTCATTAGTTTGTCTTATCTTCTTTTCCTTAAATGTATTGTTGGATGAGCGATGACTTGACTGTCATTAGTAGGCCTAGGTGGGCTAAATTAAATTTTTAAATAATAAAATAACAACTCACCTAAGCTATAGCCTAGGTTAGTCCCTTCTTGGGACCGTCCCTGAATCTAAGCATACTCTGCCAGCACATAAAACCTACTTTCAAGTTGGTGCCAAAATATATATGTATGGGAGGACTCTTGCTGATTGAAGTATACCAGATACTTGCCTTCCACGCTTTAAAAAGATTAATGATATGCATAACTGCATTTGCCAAGCTTTGCAGCAAAGCAATATTCATGTTGTTGATATAGGTCGGCTTAATCACATCATTCTCTCTTCTTTAGTTAGGAGATTAAAGAAGAAGAACCATTCTATATAGATAGGCAGAAACTGTGAAACATATTATTGAAAAGAATAAGATAAATCTGTCGTAATCTTCTATATATGTAATGTAATATTTCAATCAGCTGACATACAAACATTTCTACAAATCGATATCCACCACCTGGTCGAGTTCTTTAATTCGCAGCCTACATGGCATGCAATAATCAATGCTTTCAACTTCATTTCTTGCAGCAAACTCAGCTCCACAGTCCACCTGTTAATCCATCTTACAAGAAGCTGACTAGAGTGTTGGTGGACTTAACTTGCTACATACTAGAACAGACAAGAAAGTTGAGGGCTTAATTAGGTTACAATCATGATGTCGTTTTATTATGTACAGGGAATTTCTGATCAGTTCAACAACCTCCTCCACCTTCCCTTTTTTATATGGACTTAAAACCTATGATCAGTATATACTACTAAAATAATTAATTTCAAGGTGTCACTTCCATACTTCGATTCGATTAGACAACTACTGGTTGTCGTTTACTTGTATCTGAATGTCATTATATATATAGACATTATCAATAGGGCATATATATAATCTCATGAGTAGCTATTTCCCTTATTAGAAGCATCATCCTGGCTGAGCTGTGAAGCTACAAACTTGTCAAGCATTCGCCAATCGGTCAGTTGATCTACGGCTTGCGGATGATCATCATTACTGTTATTACCATAGACTGCTCCATGAAAGTTTTGCTCTTGATCCGACGGCTGAAAAGTGCAAGCGTGGTTTATGTCAATACTGTATGCATGAGCTGCCATGGAGTTGGAGCTGCTTACACCTGTGGCTGAAGATTGGAGTAGTTTTGGGCTCCCCAGAAGGGGGAGCTGGAAGAAGTGCTCATGGGGAACCTGGAAAGCTGGCAAGTGATCCAGCTCTTTCTTGCAAGGATAAGGAAGGTGGTGGTATGGTGCCATATTAATGTTGGAGTTTGAGTTTTGGTTTGGTGAGTCCAAGTCCGGCATGAAGGAGACTTGGTCATCATACCAACATGGTGACTCATGTTCATTCATTTTAATTCTCATGCTTGCAATTTTCTTCTTGAAAACCCTACACACAACCCAGCCTTCTTCCTGCTTCAATTGCAAAAGAAATCGAGTTTGAATGCAATGTGATAAGAAGAATCAAACTATTTGTTCTATCTCAACCGACACGCTATATGATCAGTTGAAATGGTACAAATAATAGCCACTACATAATGCAAGAAAGTCGTAATATCAGTGAATTAAGTTCTCACCTGTGGAGTTCCATTTTCATCGGTTTCAAGACGGTATTCGTGCATAATCCAATCTGACTTTTGTCCATTTGGGGCTCGCCCTTTATAGAATACTAAGGTCTTCCTCATGCCAATTAAGTCATGCTTTGAATAAATGGCCTTGTCTCTACCTGTGGCTTTCCAGAAGCCTGCAGCGGTGGCTCTATTTGTTCGAGTTCCAGTGGGATACTTCTTATCTTTATGGCTAAAAAAGTACCATTCGTTTTGCTCTTCTGTCCCTATTCTGCATAATTCTGTATGTCCAAATTCATGCAAGTCATATTAGCATGCATTCATGTGAACTGACTTCAATATATACTGGTTGTGAGAGTATACATACCTTGAAGGTCCCATGGCTCAATTTTATAGAGGTCTACATCTTTGATGACATCTAGGTCAATCCTTCTTGAACTAACCTTTTTCCTGAGGTAGTAATCAACAAGTTCTTCATCCGTCGGATGGAATCGGAAACCAGGAGGAACATGTGAAAAAGTGTTCATATTATCCAGCTTAGCTTCTTGTTCTTCAGTCCTGAAATTCATTTGTCAGACTGATTATATCTAGGAATGCATGCAAAGGTTTAGTCTGGATTAATAATATTCAATTAAGTGGAATTGTCTAACACAACTCTTCATCAACATATGTAATCACCTCCATTTGATTTTAGTTAAGTTCAACTGTAATAAAATGTGAATGTCTGATTGTCAACCTGTCTCTAGCTTCAAAGTTCAATGTCATACAAGGAAAGAACATATATACGTTCAGACTAATATGCACATTATATGATTGAACTTTTCTCATACACACCACAATTAAATCTTTCGCATTCGTCAAATTGGAAAAAGGTGAAGAAAAAAAACGTTTTGGCATTATACTAATCTGTACTTCATATTGCACTCAAAGGCCTTTATGTAATTGGAGAAGAACCCTGTAAAGTTCAAAACTTTCATATTGCATGCACTACACAAATTTATTTTGCATGAGATGAGTAATTAATGAATGATGACTGATTCTGTCTGGTTTTATAAACAAAATGAGCTCTGATGACTGAAATTGTTTCATGTTCCTGAAACTTAAATATTATTTTTAATTAATTAAAAGACTTTTTGCCCTAATTAATGTGGGAAAATATCCATTGTGAAGGTGATAATGAAAAGTAGCATTTAATCATGAATATTCAATGAGATGAAAGAATTCGTGAAAAAAAGGGGTTTCTTTTTGGGGAGTTCTATACCACAGAACAAATTTCACAATACATAACATGTGGGAGAAAACTTTTCCTGGATGATGATTAATATTATTATGCTTGTGATATGATCAATCTTTGTACAGTCTCACGATGATATCAAAACCAGCATATGCCATTCGATTACTACCATTAGTACATGAAAAATACAAATTAATGATCTCCAATTATGATCAGATGCCACTTGTATACTTCTCATATGATTTTTAATCACTGGAATTATAGAACATCATTAAAAAGAAACCAAAAAGACAAGAGCTGATCTTTTCCCTTAAATTGTACGATAGTGTTGATATCTTTGATAGGTTTACAGGGTCAATGAGAAGTCCTGATTATGTACAAGGGAAAGTAAAATCTTTTGAGATGGTTGATGAAGAACATGCTCCTACGCTTAGCTAACCCATGCACCCTTTAACTTCAAGATCCATATAATATTGAAAATATATATATATCCCACAACAAGTTTTCAACCCATGAACACATCGAAGAGCAACGAAGCAGAATTTCATGAAGAGAAGAATATTATAAGAGAGAGAGAGAGAGAGAGAGAGAGAGAGAGAGAGAGGGCTTACAGATAAGCAACAAAATCTCGAGCTTTGCAATCCCACACAGATCTGATCGGTTATATTTCAGGCAAGCTAACTTCACTTGTTTGCTATATGATGTGCTTCTCAAACCCTCACTACGCCAAAGTATGAGACAAGGAAACAAATTCAAACAGCAAGACAGAACATGTAAACACAGTGACACATATATATAAGAATATGAGAACTGCAGCCCTCGGGAGTTGAACACCAACTTGTTCTCCAGTCCCCAAAAACTGCTGTGTCGAGTTGTCGGGACTGGATCCTTAGAAATGATGAAAGACAGGCCAAGACGGACGAAAAAGTTGAGGAATGGAAGAATAGAGGCCAAGTTGGTTTAAATAAGAAGCTGCAAAACCCTAGAAGTTAAAAAAAAAAAAAGGGGAAAAAATGACGAAGCAAAAGTTAAGTAGCGTCTTGAGAATGTCTTAAGCACTCGTTGTCTTGTCACTCATTGTCGACATAAGCTAGATTGCTGGGAAAGATTATAGGCGGGAAAAAAGGGTGGCGCAAAATTGGCTCAAGGAGAGGAAGCAAAGCTCTCTCTGTCTCTACTGCCACCTCTACCCGCAACTGATAGTGATAGAGACCCACCCTATTCAAATATTCAATATTTCTCTTTCTGAGCTAGCCAGGTCTCTCTCTGCCACTGACGAAGAGAACTAGTCTAAGAGAGAGAGAGAGAGATGAGGAAGATGAAGAAGAAGAAGAATAAAAATATTTGAGCTTTATTGGTTGGGATTTATTGGTGACGTAATGGAACAGGCACCAGCCAAAAAGTTTCACAAATGTGGCATGGTGGCCCTAGCTTCAGCTTCAACTCTATTCCTAGTCCCTACCCCCCCATTTCTTGTTCAACTCTCTTAACCGCAAGGACTACTGAGGATATCATATATGATGATGTTTGCTGTGTTCCATGTGAGTCTGTCCTATGGTTTTCATGGATGTTCCATCAAATTCTCCCGGGGCAACGACACGTGGAATTCTGATGGATGATCAGACATTGTACTAGGGGATTATTGTGAATTTGTGATGTCAGTACTAGTGTTTGTTTACACACAATTTTATAATTAGCTAGGTTAATATGTGCAGTAAGTAACATAAACAGGTGGGTTCAGTTGTATTAATAATTAGTCCCATAATTAAAGTAGAAATGAAATGGGTCTAAATTCAGTTTGCAACAATTATGCACGATTCAAGTGTTGTTGAAGAAAATACTAATTTGGTTCGGTAGATACTAATTTGGTTCTCTCGCACAAACCCAATTTCCATTATGTTTTTTGTGATTATCATCATCCAACATTAAGAACCCAACAAACATACATTATGCTTCTCTATTATTAACCTGTACTTGTTGGCTGCTGATCAACTTTGTTTAACCAAGAGTTTAAGGAATTGGGGTTTAAATTAGCAAAAATTACAGCCCTAATGATCCTACAACCCTAATGATCCTATAGGTATAAAATAATATTAATATTATATTTGAATGAGCTCAACTCACTCAGCAGACTTGCTCGTGACAAATACGTTTCCATTGTCATCATGATACGCGGTTTTCAATTATCTACCTTCTTCTTCATCAGCTGAGTCGACCGTTACGGAGCTCAAGCCCCCGTTCTAACGGCTAACGGGTTTCCACGCCCCATCGTTTCACACGTGGCATCGTCCTATTAATTAACGTTGTATCTATAGTCTTTATTATCCTTCGCTGCGAGTTAGCTAGCTTTGCACGAGTGGTTCGCCCGAAAAGTGTGGGGCCCAGTAACCGACGTTTAGCATCCCAAAAGAGACACTCCTCCAAATTGGCTTGATTGACCGAGAGGCTTGAGCCCAGCCGCGTCTCAGCCGATCCGCGGGAGTGTTCAGGAAGATTTGTTTGGATCACTAAAGCACCGCAAATGTGGTGGTGGAATGCGGGACCCACACGAGAGGGAATGATGGCCCGGACGGCTTGCGATGGATCCGGCGTGGGCTAGCCACTATCATTGAGCTCGCAAGTTGAGGAAGGGAGGGAGGGAGAGAGGGGAGGTGTCTTTTGCCGGGTTGTGTCTGTGGGTCCCTCACCTGTGGTCCCTTGCCAGAATGTCCCAAAACAGGGCCGACTAGGCCCTCCAGATAGGTTTTAGGAATGAGCCCACTTCTTCTCATTCGGACTCAGCAGTCACTATCCGCTCCCGTCGACAGGCAGCCCAAAAGCATGGGAAAATTAAGATCAAACACGTGCGTCCATTAGCTCTGGTCAGGTTACCGTGTGAGAAATTATTGTATGATACTTTTAATATAGTCACGATATGATATGGATGGAGAGTAAGGTTGATGAATTCCCATTGTTAGAATATAACTTCAGTAAATATTCACTTGAATTATAATACGTATGCAAATTATATCATGTATACGAGTAATGCGTCGACCTTGCTCCGGTGGCACATTATAATTACTCGGGTGTAGTGACCAAGAAATTGGTGTATGATTTTGGTCTTTACAAAAAACAAAAGACAATGTGTAGGTTTTAAATTTTTGTATGTATATATGTATTGTAGGTCCCATAATTTTCATGATGACGGATATGAAACATCATTGTTCCCGTCCGAACGTTTTGGGTGGGTGGACGGTAGGACTCCGTTGTTACATTGACGTGTCGTCATTTGGGTGGATCTACTTCACCGCAACCAATAAGGATGCGGCTTCCCTAATACTCATTGGGCCCCACCCAAATGTCACTGTTTTTTTTATCTAATCATATATATGGTGTCCCTACTTCTACTCTCCTCTTCCGGGTCCACACCTCATAATCGTATCATCTACAGATTTGGAGAATGATTTTTTTATTTTTTTCCTTTATCGTTTTCTCTTTGGTCCATGGGGCTGTTCTGTTTCCTAAACTAATTTGTAAAGATAATATTGCCAAAAGACCTCTTTATTCTCTAAATAAATAAAATAAAAAAAGCCATTCCAATGTCAACTAAATTAACTTCTTCATTAAGCGTTTAATCTTATTTTGCAAAGGACCCGCTAATGTAGTGGTTTGGAGCAATTGCTCTCTCAGGAAAAGTTCTCGATTTCGAGTCCTAGTATCCGTATAGTGTGTGTGAGTTTAATATATTATCGACTCTCTCAATAGAAAAGATTTTATAAAAAAAATCCTATTTTGTTTGACTTTTTAGTGCAAGGAAATGCCATTTAATTGTTCAAGACAATATCGCATCCAAATTTCATGTAATTGTTGTGAGGTTACTTTCTCCCCATAAATGCACATCATATTGGTGTTTGGTTGCAACGTGCGGTCCATATATTTGGCCCGATATGCTATGTCTCCCAAAGTTTACTAGAATGTCTCTAATCAACCCTAATTAAAACGCATATTCAGGCCCAAAAATCAGCAAGAAAAACGAAAGATGAGGGCACAAAGTTGTCAAGGTGACGCATGGTTGACAATTTGTGCGCACGAAGACACAAAAGTACTTGACAATTAAGTGGTTTATGATTATAATAATTGTGTTTTTAGTGTTTAGTTGTCACTTCAAATATAAAAATACAATGCACAAGTCTTACCTAAACTTGGATAATTACAAAACAGGAGAATGATTGCATTGTTCGGTTTATATGTCACCTCGAAATTTGTGATAACTATTATTACCATGATCATGGTGAATAAGATATCAGAACAAATAAAGCTGGAAATAGTGAAACCCTAAATCATTAGGAGACTATAGTTACTCACAGTCCCTTTTACTAATATTCACAATGACTAATAACGACGTCACAAATTTGAAGGGGGTTTTCAATGAGTCGGGTGTGTTGATCAGATTTTAGGGTGCACCGTGCACCATACAATCCCCTTTAAATCCAACAGTGGTTTCAATGAGATCGGGTGTGTTGATCAGATTTTATGGTGCATCAACAATCTTCCTTAAATCTTAAAAGGGTTTTGGGCCTCTCGAAGCCCCATTTTTGGGTACTGAATTCTCTCAACTACACCGTCATTTTGCAAGAATAAAAAGTCTTTATTTCCATATAAAAGAATTTTCAATACAATAATGAAAGAACAAATTGAACAATTGTTTTCAAACAAGTTGATACATGATTGTACAACAATGGCAGAATGCAATATGTTAAAATGATCAGAGCCCAGCAGTAAATGGCACGTTTGTAGCAGGCAACCATGAGCTTCCAGCTATGAAATTACCCACAGTAAATTTCGATGCCTCTGACGAACTAGTTATCACATGATAGCCACCCCAATTAACCCGGCCGCTCGTAGATGAACCCGGTCCAGTGTTCTTGTACTCTCCATAGTACAAAGTCTTGAGGGCAAAATTGCCATCCCACTCAAGCCACCCAGCTGGGTCAACCAAAGTGTCCAGGTAACTTTGCAAAAAAATCGTGCGTGAATACTCCTTCCACGGTCTACCCAAGTATGTCTTGACCGAACTGAGGACAGGTTGGAGGTCTGAACCGGCCATGACACGGGAGTCATGAATCGAAATTCCCGTATTCTGATTCGGGTCGGTCCTGCCTTGGGCCGTGATTGTGTTCTTTTGACCGCTCATGGGCCTTCTTGCGTAGATCATGCAGTTTTGGAGGACGACAGCGGCGTTGCCGAAAATGAAGTCGACGGTGCCGTACACGTAGCACTCTTTGTAGAATTGTCGTTGAGAGTGGACGTAGAGGGTGTCTTGGTAGCCTTCGAAGCCACAACGGTAGAAAACTGAGAGGTCAGCGCCTGATCGGAGGGCTACGGCTTGATGGTTCTCTGGACCAGCTGTGTTGCGGAATGTGATGCCACGAGCAATGAAGCCATCTCCAGTTACCGCTGTAATTAATTAATTACACAATTAGAAACAAAATTCAATAATTAAAATTATGAAATTTTAAGGGGTCCTATGTCGTTTAAGGGGAACCATCGTGCAGTAGTTAAACATTAAGTTGATAAGTCATGATTTATAAATTGTCAACGCTTGTTAAAACTTGTATTCTCCCTCACTTTTTCTCTATCGAGACATTTTCAATATATATGGCACACACCTTTTGACAATTCATATAGCATTGTGTGTGTGTGTGTGTGTGAGAGAGAGAGAGAGAGAGAGAGAGAGAGACGTACCAACAGTTGCAGAGTTGAAAGTTGTAGAACCACCTACAACACTACGGCTACCGGTGATAATAGTATACCTCAGACCATCACCAAGCAGCATAATGTTCTTCAATTTAATCTCAAGGTTCTCCTTATAAACCCCACGCTTCACATGTATCACAAACCTGTTGCTCCCACTCCTCTTCGCCGCGGCAGCCAACGCCTCTTTGATTGTCTTGTAGTTCCCTGATCCGTCTTGGGCAACAACTACGTCCGCGGCTGGCGACGACTGGAGCAGTTTCCTGTCACCGGGAGAAACCCAAGTAGGAAAACCCTCCTTGTACCTATTTGTCACAGCCGGAACATTTGAGCCATTACCAATGGACAAGGTGTTACTTATGAGCTTGGACACATTGTTGGACATAAGGGGAAGCACAAAGTCCGAGACCCCGAGCTCCACAAACCCGGCCCGGCACGTGTCGAGGTTGGTGAGAGCAGTGCTGAGCCAAGTCTGTGCGTCATAGTCGGTGCATTTGGTGGCGGGGTCTATGGTCTGGTTGAGGAGCATGATGGTGTCTTGGTAGAGGCTCAAGCAATCGGCCCATGCAGCCTTTTCGATCTTGTTTCTGCACTTGGGACCTAGCCACTTGTTGTGGCTTTGGGCTTTGAGTGCCTGCTGCATTGTGACTTGCACCGCAAGTTTCTTGAAGTCGGACATGCGTGTCGGGAGAGAGTATTTTTGGGCATGGGTCAAGGTGTATTTGCAGGTTTCAGGGTAGGGGGTTTTGCTGCACCAAGAGTTGATGCCAGTGTTGAGTATGTTAGATAGGGCTGGCGAGAATAGTAAGGAGAAGGAGAAGCATAGAAGGAATGAACTCATTTTTGTCGCCATGGATAGGCTTCTTGTTGATTGGCTTGTGGTTTTGGGACTGTGAGGGTTTTGTGTTAGTGATCAGAAGTTTGCTTATATAGGGAAAAATTTTAGAGATGAGAAATGGGGTACGGTGGTGACAGCTGGTTTGGCTTATAGTTTGACCATGGAGGGGTGATGGAGGCAGTAAGATAATTATTAAAAAGTGCAGAATAATTAGAATACAGAGATTCTCAATCGATCCTTGTCTTATTATTCATATATATAAGTATATGTTAGTCTTTACGCAGCCAATGATGAAATGATATAAAGCATGTACATCATATATTCCATGTTTATGTATGTAAAAGGAGGTGGTGTACTATCTTGATCACAGAAGAACATGTCAAGCAATTGACTGCATTTCATATATATATATATAATTATGTTGGCGAGTCCTTATTTAGTTAGGATTTTAGTTCCTTATTTCATTAGAATTTGGGTTACTTACCAATTATTATTTAGTCCTATTGTAATAGAGATTTACTTCATATTGTAATTTAGATATATTTCCTATTTTATTTAGGGTTAACACATATTTGTACTTGTATAAATACCTCCATATTGGAGAAGAATAATAATATGAGCGTATCTTAGCATAATTGAATATTTGCCCCACTTTATTTGACAAATTAATCATATAATTAGAGAATTGGTGTCTCTCTGTTATATTCTCTTCGCTTTGTTTTGATATATCTGTGTTATATTCTCTTCAACCAAGCACACCGATTATAGAGAATGAAAAGAAATTGGAATTGGCTAGCTCATGCTCTCTCTCTGTTCAAACTTCAAACAAATTGAGTCAAATATGAATTAAGCTTTAGGAATAACCACACCTGGGCAAATTGGCAATAACAAGCTGGAAGTCTCTGACTATTTTTTTAAAGCTTTTGACTTTGAACATCTTAAGCAGATAAGAGAGCCAATCCAGAACGCGTTACGCACACCAACCACATTAGCTGGACCAAATAATTGTATACTTGGGTACCCTAACCAAGACACGGTTTTCCTCCTCAACAAATATGCTTTGCTTGCTACATTTTCTTAATCTGTATTATGACTTTCTAATTAATATCTCTTAATTTAATTTGTCCCTACCACCTGCCAGATGCATTATGTTACATATTAATCTTACTATTTGGATAAATAATTGGTTCTTAGGCAAATTCCGATTGATGGCCGAGAACAATATTATTTCGAGTCTGCATAACCTTGACCGTCACTTAATACATATTATGTAGTATGAAAATAGATAAACCGTACCAGAGGCAGAGGCATGAAACCTACAAGAAAAACTAAAATCAATACAATACAAGTACTCTAAAATCCACCGGATAGACAGAGGCATGAAACCTTCCATAATCATTAGGTTTATATATATATTGAATAAGATCACTTGATATATGCAAGTCTTTGTTTACGAATTTCGACAAAATGGACAATTCACCTTATATAGGACCACCACAAAGACTATGAGGGTGTCTTATTTCAAAACACTTCGAAAATATATTCTAGAAAAATTATCCACTAAGTATTTTATGTTAATAATTGATTACATATTTCTAATTTCGACCTTTGAATTGCACGATATGTTGCATATTAAATCTACCAACACATTTAATGAATGCAATCTAATTGCAGAAATTAGAAATATGTAACCAATCTTAAACTTAAATCTCCCTTCAATTACATACAATTTATTTATGTACAATGAAATTAAAACATATTCAATTATACACAAAGAAAAGAAATTTTCATATTATAACTTTTCTTCTTTTTGGGTCGTCTGGCATGTTTATTATTTTAACGGGATATTCAGGCCCCTTTATTCTGCTTCTTCTTAGTGTTTACAAGTTTATGAATAATTATTGGGTGTAGTTAGTGGTTGACTATGTCCGCTAACGGTTTGGGTGGAGAAAATTGCACTTTGCTACAACCTCACCCTGCTTACAAATTAATTTAATCGGCATGATTATAAATCAAGCTATTTTTTCTTAATTAACTATCTTTTCTAGTCTACAATCTCGGCATGCATGAAACATGCAAATCAACTATGAATGAATAAATATATTAAGGTTCACATGAATTCGGTGGCCAAACATTCTGGCTTAATTCCAGAATACAGAGTTATTAACATGAATCCAAATTATATATGTAAAGTAAAGTGGGAAATTAAGTTCCCTCTGCCCCTAAATTTTCCTTAACTACATTATTAAGAAATAATTAATCATATTCATTCCTTGTGAAAATGTACCATATATGACAGCATAATGTACAAAAATCCAACACCAACAACATCCACTAGACGTAAATAAATATTTTTTTTCTTCGCCCAAATAAACAAATAAAATACAATCAATTCACAATCATAACATATAGGACCTGATCATAACCCCGCTGTGTATGGAACCCCGGTGCCCGGCAACCAGGACCGACCGGCGATAAGGCTGCTGACGGTGAACTGTGACGCCACATTTGCACTGGTGATGATATGGAAACCAGGCCACTTCACTCTGTACCTGGTAGACGAAGCAGGACCAAAATTCTTGTACTCCCCATAATACAAAGTGCTAAGCGCAAAATTACTTCTTTGCCACTCCAACCAGCCCACTGGGTTGACCAAACTGTCCAGATAACATTTCAAGAAAACAACCCTAGAGTATTTCATCCAGGGCCGGCCCAAGTAGGTTTTGAAAGCACTAACCACGGGCTTCAGATCTGCA